CCCTGCGCGTCCTTGCCCCCCGCCGGGGCTGCCCATCCTCAGCCCCGGGGAGCGGCTCCCCCGAGGTCGGGGAGGACACCTCGGAGCCCCTGGAGGGCTTGGGGGGGTGTGGGGGACCCCCGTGGGAGACCTCCGTGGGTTGGTGATGAGGTCGTTGAACGTGGAGGAAGGAAACCACGGAAGAGCTTGGAGATGGTCGAAATTGCATGGCCCATGTGTTTTAAGTAAAGGCACTGCTTTGGGGAGACCATGTATTTCCCTTCCTGGCATAGTCAGTGAGTGTGATGGTTAACTTTGCCCCCTTCCGAGAACGAATCTACTGGTTTGGCGATGTCTGTGAGGCCCAGGACATGACTGTTTCGGGTGCCAGTTCAGCAGCAGACATGATCTTGGGGCCTAATAGGTGGTGGAAACATGACCAAATCCTGTAGGCCTCCATCCTCACATCTTGAACCCTTTTTATCCTTCACATTTTGGTTGCATAACTTATCTCTGAGTACATCGCTGGAGTATTTTAAAGCAAATCCCTGCTGGGCTGGTGTGGCTCAATGGTTGAGCCTGGACCCATGCACCTAGAGTCGCCTGTTGCGGGCTTGATCCCCAGGATGGGGGGTGCAGGAGGCAACCGGTCCCTATTTCTCTCTCATTGATGTTTCTATCTCTCCTCCTCCCTTCCTCCCTCTCTCTAAAATCAATACCAGGTGTACCGGTTAATAATGCGGATTTTCTAGTCAAAACACGATTATTTCAAGAGAAACACCAAAAGTGCTTTATTCAAAGTAATGTGCATCGCTAGCTACACATTTCCCCCATCTTTCAGGTGATTTGTGGATGCCATCCCAATAGAACTTTTCTTGTTTTGAGACAAACCATTCAGAGACCCAATTTTCCACTTCTTCGTACGTTTTGAAGTGCGGCTCAGAAAGTGCATGTGCCATCGATCGGAACAAGCAGTCATCTGAAGGAGCAAGGTCTGGTGAATATGGCGGGTGGGTTCATACTCCCCAGGCAAGATCTTTTAACGTGTCTTTAACTGGTTTTGAAGTGTGTGATGGTGCGTCATCATGAAGCAAAATTACTTTGCCGTGTCTTCTGGCACATTCTAGTCATTTTACGATCAAAGCTGGTTCAAATTGATTATTTGTTGTCGGTAGTGATCAGTATTAACAATTAGTATTTACGGTTTCACCTGGTTTTAGAAGCTCATGATACACCACACCTTCCTGATCCCACCAAACACAGAGCATTGTCTTTCTGAAGCGATTTGGCCTTGCAGTCGATGTTGATGGTTGACCTGGATCAACCCATGATTTTGTGCATTTGGGATTCTCAAAATAAATCCACTTTTCATC